AAGGCAATGGGTGACACAAAAGAGCGAGGTACCATCATCTATGTCGACGACATACTGGTCAAAGATTCCTCATGGGAAGAACACCTCGAGAGCCTCCAGCATACCCTCGAGCAGTTAAAAGAAGCAGGCGCAAAGATATCAATACAAAAGGAACAGTGGGCACGAAAAAGGGTGGACTACCTCGGGCTCCAGATCGGCACTGAGGGAATGTTACCCTAAACGAAAAGACTTGAAGCCCTCCTCGCACTCAAATCGCCCAGCACAGTCACGACCCTTCTGAGCTTTAGGGATTTGCAACTACCTTCGACAGTTCGTGGATGACTATGCAGGGATCGCTCGACCCTTAGTCAAACTACTACAAAAAGACGAACCATGGGAATGGGGACAGGAACAGGAAGCCACAGTGGAAGAATTAAAACGACAGATCACAGGGGCATCCTGCCTAGCATATCCAGAGAAAGGAAAAAAATAATACCTAGAAACAGCATACTCAGATCATAGTATCAGCTCGGTACTGTACCAGATACAGGAAGCAGAGAAACGAGTTATTGCCTACGCCAGCAAAGCCCTCCGGGGAGTGGAGACGAAGTTCTCCGAGTGTGAGAAGGCAATATTTGGGAACATCTGGGCTATACAACATTTTCGAAACTTGTTGAACGGAGAGAAAATCATCCTAGAAACGAATCATGAATCCTTGGCGTACCTCAACAGTAAGAAGATTTGAGAAGGCCGTGTAACCAGCAGCCGAATAGCCAGTTGGGCACTGACACTCCAAGGCCTACCAATCACGTGAAATACGCAAAAAACAAGAAAAGTCCAATGGCCCAAGGTCTTGCCGATTTACATGATTGCACCCTAGACAGCGTAGAAGCAGGGGCCGAAAAGATACCTCCAGAGGACAACAGGCACCTGCCCTTCAGAAAGGAGACATGTGCCGACCTACCAATGGTGTACATCTATGGATGCTCCAAAACGAAGGAGAACAAACTCCACGCTGGATCAGGAGTCATTTGGAAAACTGGCCCACTCACAGGGATTCAAGGAGGGTTTCAGCTGGGATCAAAATCAAACCAGTATGCAGAGTTGGTCAGGGTACACATCGCTGTCCAAATGGCATCTGATAACCAAATACAGACCATGGTGGTGTACACCGATTCCAACTACGTACAGCACAGCTTCCTGCACCACCTACCCATATGGAAAAAAAAAACGATATGAAGAACCATAGGAATAAACCAGTTCACCATTGAGAACTGTTCGGGGCCATAGATAAGATGGTTCAGAACAAGGATATGAAGATATTTTGGAAGAAGGTCAAAGGTCACTCCAAGATACCTGGTCAAGAGAAAACTGGGAATGACCAGGCAGATGCCCGAGCAAAGGTAGGGAGCCTGGAAGGCACCCCGTGGAAGCTAGAAGACCAAACCGAAAGAGACAGACAACAAGAGTCGACGAACCAAGACCCCGTCATGACAGGACTGGTCACAAGAAGCAGGAAGAACCCTGCAGAAGCTGGAACCAGAGCCCAATTGAACAGTGCACAGCCTTCCGAAGACCTAGTTAGAATGCAACAAGAGGACGAAACACTAAAGGCACTAGCTGATCACATCCATGATCCAACAGGAAAACCAATCACTACCGACAATCTGAACGACAACAAAGAGCTCGAGACCATGCATAATCAAATCAAAAGGTTCTCAATGCGGAAAGGGCTACTGGTATATACGAACGAAAGAGACGGTAAAACTAGATGGGTAGTCCCCTCACAATATCGAGAAATAATGTTAAAACACGCCCACGACTAACCATGCAGCGGCCACCGATGCGAGATGAACACAGGACAGATGCTGCGGCAGGTGGCCTACTGGCCTAAAATGGGTGAAGACATACACAACCATGTGTCCAACTGCCTCGTGTGTTGTAAGTACCAGCCAACGGCCTCACAGCATAGGGCACCCCTACAGAGGAGGGGAACAGACTATCCTTGGTCCAACCTACAAATCGACTGGATAGGACCTGTCAACCGATCAACCAAAGGAAATGAGTACATGCTGACTGTGACCTGTGCATTCTCCAAATGGATAGAGGGTTTATCAGCACCCAACAACACCGCGGAGACGACAGCTGTCCTACTGATCAACCAAATATTCAGTAGGTGGGGCCTACCGTCAACAATCGATTCAGACAAAGGAAGCCACTTCACAGCCGAAGTAATCACGGAAGTAGGGAAGATGTTGGGAGTAAAAAGACAACTACATGATGCCATGGTATAACTGTTGGCACACTGGACTTGCAATCCAGAGGTCACCAGTTCCATTCAATCTCCCTGCACCGGTGCTCCATCGCCGCTGTAATCAAGTTTATTTTGTCTAACCAGTGAGAACTCATATTCTTAGTTTTTTCGGTAAAGTCACGTTGAAGAGAAACAACAAAATAACAAAATATATATAAAACAATAAAAAATTCTCACGACGTTTCGACCATAACTCAAACGGTCATCATCAGGTGTGTCGGTTTGCATAAATTTATTTTGAAAACGGCATATTTATTTATTTATTTATATATATAAAATATATATAACGTTTGCGTCACGCGCAACGATTGGCAGTTTGCCCAGGACTAGTCCATCTATTTTTTTTTTTTTAAAGAGGAGGGGGGAGACGAAATTTGTTTTTATGTATGCTGTCTGAAAGCCACTGTAAGCGTGAACAATCAATCAAGAACTGAAATGATTTATCAAATCTTTCCAATGATTGCTAAGATAGAATCCATCTTCTCGGTTGAAATTGTCTCTGTGCTTGTATATGTGGATAGCCTCATGAACGAATCTCTCATGGAAGCCAGATGGCTTACAAAGAACCTCCGTCTTGGAAAAGTCAATGGCATGTGAGCCTACTGAATTAGAACAATGATCTGCTACGGCCGAGGTGTTGGTCCTACCGTGTTTAAGGTCTGCTTTATGTTCACGAATGCGGTCCGAGACATGGCGTTTGGTTTCTCCAATGTAACTACTACCACAGAGGCAACTTAGTTTGTAGACACCAGGGTATTGTATGTCCGGAATCACATCTTTTACAGACGGAACCAGATCACGGATTTTATGTAATGTGTTGAAACGGACCTGGATCTTGTGTTTATTCAAGATTTTGGAGATCTTTTTTGTGATCCCAGCAATGTAGGGTAAAGTGATGGTTTTGAAAGGCTCCTCAAGAGGGTTCTTCTTCATGGTTTGAGTGATAGCTTTGCGGATTGTATAGTCGGAGTAACCATTAGCCCTAAGAGCTTGGTGTACGTGCTTGAGTTCACTGCTTATGTGTTCCTGGTCGGATATGCATTGGGCTCACATGCCATTGACTTTTCCAAGACGGAGGTTCTTTGTAAGCCATCTAGCTTCCATGAGAGATTCGTTCATGAGGCTATCCACATATACAAGCACAGAGACAATTTCAACCGAGAAGATGGATTCTATCTTAGCAATCATTGGAAAGATTTGATAAATCATTTCAGTTCTTGATTGATTGTTCACGCTTACAGTGGCTTTCAGACAGCATACATAAAAACAAATTTCGTCTCCCCCCTCCTCTTTTCAAAAAAAATATATGGACTAGTCCTGGGCAAACTGCCAATCGTTGCGCGTGACGCAAACGTTATATTTTTATATATATATATATATATATAAATAAATATGCCGTTTTCAAAATAAATTTATGCAAACCGACACACCTGATGATGACCGTTTGAGTTATGGTCGAAACGTCGTGATAATTTTTTATTGTTTTATATATATTTTGTTATTTTGTTGTTTCTCTTCAACGTGACTTTACCGAAAAAACTAAGAATATGAATTACTGCAGTCACGAAAGCTTTAAATCAAAATTCAGTGAGAACTCATTGAGAGCAAGGGGGTATAATTTGCGTGAGTGATCTGGGTAACCAATAAGAAAAATCGTTACAATAAAGTACAGCAGCACCCCAGCAAATATAAATCAGCTCAATAGCACGCATGTCAGGAAAAACGGGGTCCACCACAATGAGGCAAATAACAAGTCGCATGTAGCGGAGAGGTGGGGTAAGGTTTGGATCTTCGCATTTCTTCTTACAAATCAATTCGTCAGTGTGGGACAGTAAACCAAACACCTTTCACTCTCGGTGGGCTCCCAAGAGCTCACTCGAGTGGAGTCTCGTTCCACCAGCAGTTTCGTGAGCAAGACAATGCAGAGATGCTGCACCTGTAAATTTTCCTTTAAAGTCATACGTCTGGAGTTTGAAATTACAGGAACACCATGCCCAACGCGGCTCGATTGAACAACTGCTTTGGCTATATATGTACGGTTTAGCTCATGAGTTCTGCTTTCCGGTACATGCATGTGATGTTTTTGGTTCTACGCAGTTTAACACGGCTAACATTCACATCTCCGCTTCATAAAGTATTCCGAGAGAGTGCTGCCTCTGTTGGAAGTTAGGAATAAATCTACTTTGAGAACGATTGAATTACAATGTATGTTATGTTTTATTGTGATGATGTAACGCACTCACTCTTAGGCACAATGGCACATCGCAAATGTTAACACAAATTACCGCATGCATCTAGGCGTCCAGTTGGCGACTCCTTAACGTTCAAGTAACTGATTTAGGGGCGAGTGTTGGGCAAGAGCGCCGCAGTTCGTGAAGAGTAATGGAGGCGGCGTTTTTTATCGAGATGATATTGACAAATAAAGAGTGTACACACACAAGAAATGGAGAAGAGACTTAGCATCCTTTAATGCAATAACAAGGGTGGAAATTGTGAGGGTTGGGTCGGGGTTCCGCTTCAGAATTCGTGTAGAATTAGTTACACAATGAGGGAGGGGGTGATCAAATCGGCCCCAGGAATACAATCCTATTTTTCGCACAAAGTCCATTATATTGTCGAAGGAGGATTAACGCAAAGCGACATTTTCCAGGGACGTAACCACCTCGCGTTTGGCGAGGTCTGCCCGTACGTGGAAAGTTTTGCTCACCTGACGTTTGGCGATTGCAGTTGTTCCCTGTGCAGCACACCATGTTTCCTGCTGTTGCGGTTAAACCTAGGAGCTGCATTTGACCTTCGAGATAGGCCTTGTTCACAGCGGTATTCTGGCAGTTCTGTTGACTGGTGCACGCATATCCAGTGCCCGTTGTAGCGCCAGCTAAAATAGAAAAAAAGAGAAATTTAACAATCTCTTGTCATCGCACGCAGAGGTCTATAGACTGTCAGATGAACTCTTCATCAAAACACCGCCACCTCTCAAGGTTGTGTTATGCAACAATCCACCCTGCACGTGAGCAGATCTCATCGCTCAATCTGCTCTGTGTACATCCTCACAAACAAGTTCGTTCCTTGGCTGTCACTCGGTTTTTCTCGACCGCCTCTGTTGCTGCCGAAGGCCACTTGTGTCGTAATGTCTCCAACCTGCAGTCTGTTCTCTAATCCACGCACGTGCCTCTTTCTGGGTCTCGGTGCAATTGCAAGCAATGCATCTCTCCACGCTTAAATGCGCAATTTCTAGTCGTCATTCTTTGCTTAGAAAAGCAAGTGGGCTTGGCCAGGACAAGTCGTGGGTTAAAAGGAGTGATGGGGGATGGTCGAGGACAATGGAGTGGCAGCCAAGGGATGGAACACGTTCACCAAGTGGAGCGACATGATCTGAGCATGTTCAAGTGCTCGGTGGATTATTGTAATGCAAAATCACCAGAGATAGGCAGCCGGTTTGGAGAGGCCGTCATCCAGCAGTTAATTAAGATTGGTTGTTGATTAAATGTGCGGTTGTCTCTGTTAAGACGTTTTCAAAATTTCAACTTACCTGTGATTTTAAAAGTCACACAAGCATCCATTCCTGCTGCGCAAGTCGTCGGTGTTTCTTGCTGTCCAAAATCATTGCTGCCAACATAGCACGAGCTAGCAGCTGTAGAAATAAAACAAACACAGTGTGAGGGATTATTGTATTTATGCATGGGATGATGCCATGGTGCAACGGTTGGCACACTGGACTTACAATCCAGAGGTCACCACTTCCATTCAATCTCCCTGCACCGGTGCTCCATCGCCGCTGTAATCAAGTTTATTTTGTCTAACCAGTGAGAACTCGTTGAGAGCAAGGGGGTATAATTTGCGTGAGTGATCTGGGTAACCAATAAGAAAAATCGTTACAATAAAGTACAGCAGCACCCCAGCAAATATAAATCAGCTCAATAGCATGCATGTCAGTAAAAAGGGGGTCCACCACAAGTTTCATGCAGCGGGGAGGACGATTATGGTTTCTATATGCACATTTATTCGTCCCAATCAATTATTCAATGTGGGGGAGTAAAATAAACACCCTCCAATCTCGAGGGGCTTCCAAGAGCTCCCTCAAGTGGAGTCTTGTTCCACCAGCAGTCACGAAAGCAAGGCACCAGCAAAGCTGCTGCACAAGTAAATTATTATATGTAAGGGATTTCAGGGGAAGGATTCCCACCGAAAGGAGGGGGAGTGGGATGGTGACAGGGGAAGGAGTAAGCGAGGCGATATAAGAGAGAATGGGCGGGAGTAAGGGAGATCTTGGCGGGAACGAGATTGAGAAGGCTTGGGACAAGTGTGGACTGACGGAAGGAATAAAAGACGAACCCCCTGCAACCTTGTGTCGGCTCTCCTTTACACCTGGTGGCAGTGGTTGGATCGACAATGGCTACAAGGAAGAACCTCCGCAGAAGAAAACCAACAGAAGAGGGAGCAGAGGCCAGAGATCCTCCACATCCAGGGCAACAAGGGGGTCTGCTACCAGGAGCAGCAGCAGAGGGCCCGGACCCCCATGGAGGACCCCATGGAGGTCTGCATGGCGTGCGTGGAGAGGGCACTCCAGGAGCTACTGCGGCGGCTCCCTATGGGGTGCCCGCCGGTGCCGGGACCCCCTGTTCTACTCGTACTATGGGCGGAGGCGCCACGGGACCCGGAGGCTGACCAGCCAGCCGGGGATGAGCCGGAACCAGCCTCGTCATGCCAGCCGCCGCCGCTCCAGCCAAAGCCGCCAGGGCTAAACACCCAAAGGGGGGAGCAGTTGGCAGGACGGACGCACCGGCTGGGCCCGCCGAGAAATTCGTGACCGAGGGAGGTGATAGGGAGGCGTTCGTCCGCCGATTCGAGGCTACCTTCCACCCTCTCGAATGGTCGGATGAAGAGGCGCTACGAGCGTTGCCATCCGTCCTGGACGACAATGCGCTCACCTCTTACACCTCCCTTCCCAAGCACAGCAAGACCACGCTACAGGCGGCCTACGAGGCTTTGGGGGTGATATACTGCCCTGCTGAGGCCGCCTTTAGACGGTTCCAGGACCACCAGCGGGGGCTAGAGAGTCCCCTTTAGCCTATAGTGGTGCGCTGTTCATGATGGCGAGGGCTTTCCCTCGCCTGGCTGACGAGGTGCTCGAGAACCTCGTGGTCGAGCACCTCATCCCCTATGCTTGCCGCGCCAGCGTTGTAATGCCGGTGGTGACACCGGAGGAATGTGCCTCGCTGTGGGCCGCCCGGATCCTACAAGCCCATGAACAGGTCATGGGCCGGGCGCTACCCGTGGGCCAAGTGGCTGGCGCGGTGGGGGGGGGAGCAGCCGGGTCATTACCGCGGCGCTACCGGAACCAGCGACGCCAACCGCCGAACCTGCACCGTTGCCGCAGGCTGCCTACGTGGCAGCTGGGAACGGACCTCCAGCGTCTGAGCCGGAGCCATCGCTGCAGGAGGTCTACACGGCGATCCGGGGGCTGGCAGAGGAGAGAGACCAGGGGCGCGATCGACCGCCGTGCCGCTGGCAGCCATTTCTACAACACCGCGCCAAACCACCCTGACAAAACACCCTATGGATCTGCCACCATTGTGGTCGAGAGGGGCATGTGGCGATGGGGTGCCGCACGGAGCTGGAGGCAGCTGGAACCCGCCGGGGCTGAACACCGACAGGAACCAGGTGAGTGACTCCGTCCCATCCGGCCGGTCGGCCGGGCCAGCAATCCCGGGCTCCACCGTCCTGGTCGGGGGAAGGGGATCGGGCCGGGGATCGCGCCGGGGCCAGGGATTGCGACGGAGCTGGGGATCCAATCATGGGCGGACGTGACGTCGCGGCCGGAAGTGGCCTCGCGGCCGGGGGTGACGTCGCAGCCGCGAGTGATGTCACGGCCGTGGGCGATGTCACTTATTACCTGCAATGCTGGCGAGTCGCCAGGGGCAACAGCCCCGGGGCTGAGGCAGCACACGCAATTACTGATGTGCTGTGGAGCAGTTTTGCACACCGCCTCATCCTCGCAATGCGGCGGAGCGAGACAGTACCGAGGGGACCACATTATAAAGGGGGCCCACGCCCCTGCGAGAAAGGGGAGGGGAGAAGGGATGGGCTCATGGAAAGGCCCACCCCCCAATCCCCACTACAATGGGGGGCCGCCTCACACCACAAGGGGGGCCCATCCCACGTCACAAAGGGGGGGCACTTCGCACCACATGGGGAGCCCACCCCACGTAACAAGAGCGCATTCACCCCGCTGCGACACACTTCAAAGGAGGGAACCCCATCTTCAGCCCGTTCACATCCATCCCCCGTCACCTCGCCATGCACCGCAGGATAGTGAGCCGCCACCTGGTCAGTGGCCAGACTCAGCCACACAATGGGGGAAGCTGGCAAGGCGGGTGGTAGCGGCCGCGTCGGGAATCTTGGTCCTGGTCAGTGCAATCGCGGGAGTGTCAGCACGCATCTTGGTTGAAACAGCGGCATTGGCCATGGTCATCTCGAGCACCATGCACGAGATGTTGTCGGATAAAAACCAGCCTTTAGTCCCCATCAAGATGACGCTCATCGCAGCAAATGGAGGGAGTATGGGCTTCCTGGGCCAGGTTGAAGCCCCGATACAGTCTAGATTGGAAGTTACGGATTGGGCAGCTTTCGATAGCAGGACCCATCCTTGTCTCTGCAACGCTGCCTGTAACCTGCCTGATGGGGATGGACATTGAGGCGAATGTCTATGAAAATCGATCTGGCCAATGGGCGGGTAGAAGTCCAGGGAACACATCTCAATTTCCTGAAGGCTCTGGTCAGTGAGTCTGTCTCCATTCCCCCAGCAGCCCAGATGCTGATACCGCTACGATATTGGTCCTCCCTCGTGACAGCCCGGCCAGACTCACCCATCCTGGTGTCTTAGGCACAAGCCACCATGGATCGCCATGCACTGGTGGGGGCTGAAACTATTGTCCAGGGGAACCAGCATCTGTTCATTCAAGTGCTGAACACCTCCAACAGAGCAGCGACGGTGCAGGCGGGAATGGTTCTGGCCCACATTAGTCCCTTGTCACTAGGAGCCCCCGGGACGAAGCGAGAGCTTCTGGGAAGCATTAGCCAGTCCGAGGATAGAGGGGACGACTCGTGGATGGACCAGCTGGCGGGGCCTGAGCCGGATTTGCAGCCCCACCAGAAGCACCGGCTGCACTCATTACTGCAAGAGTTCTCTGACGTGTTCAGCCGGGGACCATTCAACCTAGGATGCACACATCTGTTGCAGCACAATATCAACACGGGAGACGCTGCACCCCTGCACCAAAACACATAGAATGAGCTCAATGGAAAAAGGGCACATTCAACAAGCGGTGCAGGAGATGCTGCTGTCCGATATGGTTTCCTCAGCCTCGAGTCCCTGGGCGCACCGGTGGTCCTAGTCAAGAAGTCAGATGGGTCACTGAGATTCTGCGTGGACTTCCGCCGCCTCAATGCCATCACGCTTGCCGATGCATATCCCCTACCACGTATTGACGACTCACTTGATGCACTGGTAGGAGCAAAAATTTTCAGTACGCTGGATTTATTGTCCAGTTTCTGGCAGGTCCCACTAGACGCGGACTTCCGGTCTAAAACAGTGTTCCGGACACCACAGGGCCTGTTCTAGTTCAATTGCCTGCCTATGGGCCTCCAGACTGCACCAGCGATGTTCCAACACTTAATAGAGTTGGCCTTAGCAGGCCTCCAATGGGAAACGTGCCTAACCTACCTGGACGACGTTGTTGTCTTCAGCCGATCATTCGATTAACACATTGGCCAATTACGTCAGGTATTCCTGCGGTTCTGGAACGCGAACTTGAAGCTCAAGCCGTCGAAGTGCCACCTTATGCAGTCGTCGGTACGCTACTTGGGCCACGTCATCAGTGAGTCTGGAGTGGCTACAGACCCGGAAAAGACGGCCTGCATGAGGGCCTGGGCTGTTCCCACGATGGTTCCAGATGTACGCAGGTTTGTGGGCTCTGTGTCCTACTACCGCGATTCGTACCCAACTTCACAACCATTGCAAAGCCCTTGTACGTGTTGACAGCGAAGAACCAGAGGTTTTATTGGGGACCTCTGGAGGAGTAGGTATTCTAGCAGCTGCGCTTGCGTCTGACAGATGCACCACCATTGGCCTTTCTGGATTTTGGCCTCCCCATTTATCCTGGACATGGACTCCAGGGATGTGGGCATTGGCAGCATATTCCCACAAATCCAGCAGGGTCGGGAGGTGGTTATCACCTTTGGCTGTCGCGTGCTGTCATCAGCGGAGCAGTACTACTGCGTCACACATAGGGAGCTCTTGGCAGTCGTCCACTTCGTGCAGCAATTTTGACCCTACCTGTATGGTCGCAAATTTATAGTCCGCACTGACCACGTGGCCTTGCAGTATTTGCTCCGTATCGACCAGCCTTTGGGCCAGCTGGCCAGGTGGATAGAGCACCTGCAAGAGTGCAGGTACCAAGTGGTGCATCGCAAGGGGACCAGACACGCCAACGTGGACGCATTTGCCCGGCTGGTGCCCCAGGGCCCTTGTGCGTGCACCACAAGCGCGGCACCCTGCAATGAGGCGAGGCCGGAGGGAACGGTCATCGCTCCTGTACACATGGCAGAGGGTGCACAGGGTGAGGTCCAGCTGACCGACTACGATCTGGGGCTGACCTTGGACGATTGGAGATGTCTACAGCAGGAGGAGGCCCCCCTGCGAGCGTTATGCGCCTCAGCGGAGGCAGAGGGGGAGGAGTACGTCGTATGGAAGGACCTCCTCATGCGATTGGACCCGGCAGGACGCCAGCAATGCCGGCTGGTTCCGGAGTCGCTGCATCGACAATTGGTCATGGACATGCACTGCTGATGGGTCGCTACCTGCGTCGAATGCGCACGGCGGAAGCCACCACCGCTGGTAACCCGGGGGCCCTGCAGCCCATCACGGTGACCAGGGTCAACGAATTTGTTGCGTTGGACATCCTGGGACTACAACCGATCATGCCATGGGAAAATAAATACCTGTTGGTTAGAGTCGAGTACTGCACGAGGTGGCCGATGGCGAGGGGCCCTCCCGGACCAAATGGCGCAGACCATTGCCGATGCCTTCGTGGGGGGCTATGTTCTTGATAAGGAGGCACCGGAGTGGTTACTCACGCATCAAGGCAGGAATTTCTCCTCACAGCTCTATCCTGGGCACGAAAAAGGTCCGAACATCTCCATATCATCCCCAGACGAATGGGATGGTGGAGCGGCTTAACCGCACCATAGCGGCCATGCTGTCCCAAGTAGTGGATTAAAACCACTCCGACTGGGACCTCCGCAGCCCGTTGGTCTTGGCAGTGTACAGGGTGGCCCCGGCACGCAGCGACGGGGTTCTCGAAGTTTTTCCTGATGTACGGACGAGATCCCGTTCCACCTATTGAGACGCAGCTGACGGACATTCCCCAGAGAGCCAACGTGTGCCTAAAGGCACTACAGGCCTCCCTAATTTATTTGAGGGAAGCCTGCCAAGCAGCCGAGGCCGCATTGGCCACCAGCCAAGGGAGCATTGTACGGATTCGGGAGAGGACAGTGACAGCCAAGCCCTTTAAAGTCGGGAACCAGGCATGGCTACACTGTCCTCAGGTGCCAGTCAGCCTCTCACCGAAACTGCACCGACCCTAGAAAGGGCAGGTCATTAAAGCACTACCACCTCAGTGCGTCCAGGTCCAACGGAGTAAGCGACGATGGTTTGTGCAATCCACTCGCCTTAAGCCATACATCTCTCCACCATCATCACCGCCATCATCATCACCCCTAACCGGGCCAAGGTTGCCAACCACCACTCACCGACCGGCAGGGGGTTCGGTGCCCTGTGTTCCCTTGTCACCTACAGCACCCCATGTGAGGCCTGATGGAGAGGCAGCACGACAGGAGATCACGGGGGCTGGAGAAACAGCAGCACAATGCAAGGCAACACCGGTGCCACCAAACCGGGGACCGCGATGAGAGGGCCTCGACAGAGGAAGCCGCCGCAGTCATCTGCAGCCTGTGGATGTCCGGGTTGTTATGGGGCTCTGCCTGGAAACCCGGGCAGACCGTTCAATTGATGTTGTTGCGTTATATTGAATTCTATGGTTGTGGTGGGGTTACAGTAAGGGCGGTCATCACTGGTTCATGGGGTAGGCAGATCCGGAGTTGGTTTTCTTTTGTCCGGCAGGTGGTGGTGATATAAGCGATGTCACGGGAAGGATTCCCACCAAATGGAGGGGGAGTGGGACGGTGACAGGGGAAGGGGGAGGAGCAAGCGAGGAGATATCAGAGAGAGAACGAGGGGAAGAGGGGAGATACTCTTTGTTCTTTTTCGGTAAAGTCACTTAGGTAAAATAAAATAAAACTAAATTAAATCACGACGTTTCGGAGGCAACACAAGCTTCCGTCTTCAGGTGGAACAGTCACAGCAGAATAGCTGTACCAAGTGGGGAGCTCTTAAGACGACCGGGATTATATACAGGTTAAGAGGGCGGGAGGAGCCAGAAAGGGACGTGGGTGGGGGGAAGGGCTAAGATAAGCCGCCTTTTGTTATGCTGCAGGGGGTTCAGGTGGAGCGATGGCGTGCTACACGGGAGCGAGTACAACCCCATTTTTGCTAGAAAGCAATAGAAATGGCTGTACAATTATAAGGCAGCTAAAGTTTGACATACAACCTACTGAGAGTAATGGAAATGGCTGTACAATTATAAGGCAGCTAACGTTTGACTTGGTTTATAACATCTTTCCAATGGTTGCTCAATTTGAAGCCATCCTCTTGGTTGAAGTTGTGTCTGTTTGTATTTCTGGATGGCTTCATGGACAAATCTTTGGTAATAACTGGGAGGTTTGCAGAGAACTTTGGTATCAGAGTAAACAATGTCATGAGAACCCGCTGTGTTGAAACAATGATCAGCCACGGCCAAATAATTCGTTCTGCCGTGTTTCAAATCTGATTTGTGCTCGCGGATTCGGTCAGAAATGTCATTTCGTCTCCCTGATATAGCAGTCGCCACAGGTACAACTCAATTTGTAAACACCGGGGTACTGTAAGTCAGGAATGACATCCTTTACGGATGGGATCAGATCACGGATGTTGTGAACTATATTGAACCGGTCCTGGATCTTCTGTTTGTTTAGAATTTTGGAAATATTTTTGGTAACGCCTGCTATGTATGGTAACGTGATGATTTTGATCGGAGTATCAGGTGGTTGTTTCTGTATGGTGGGAGAAACAGCTTGGCGGATGGTACGGTCAGTGTATCCGTTCCTCTTGAGGGCCAGATGTACATGTTTTAATTCACTGGCCAGATGGTGTTGGTCAGAAATGCAATGAGCCCTATGGTATACAAACATAGACACAACTTCAACCGAGAGGATCTTTTCAAATTGAGCAACCATTGGAAAGATGTTATAAACCAAGTCAAACGTAAGCTGCCTTATAATTGTACAGCCATTTCCATTGCTTTCTAACAAAAATGGGGTTGTACTCGCTCCCATGTAGCATGCCATCGCTCTCCCCGAACCCCCTGCAGCATAACTAAAGGCGGCTTAGCTTAGCCCTCCCGGACCCACCCACGTCCCTTCCTGGCTCCTCCCCCCCTCTTAACCTGTATATAATCCCGGTCGTCTCAAGAGCTCCCCACTTGGTACAGCTATTCTTCTGTGACTGTTCCACCTGAAGACGGAAGCTTATGTTGCCTCCGAAACGTCATGATTTAATTCAGTTGTTTTATTTTATTTTACCTAGTGACTTTACTAGAAAAAAACAAAGAGTATGAATCCTTGCAGTCATGAAAGCTTCAAATCTAGAATTAATGACCTTTGCGGGGAGGATTTTCACCTGTTAGAGCTTTTAATAGACAACGAGATAAGAAGTCACATCTCATCGAGACGCTAACCTTCCTCAAACGATGCCGCGACAACAAGGTAATACCCGTCGCTTTCACACTCACATCTGCTGCTGTATCTTCACCGAACTCTAAACGGATTCTGTTTAATGCTAGCCTATCACTAATCTCAGAGAGAATAAGAGTACTCCGATTTGAACTCGATAGTTTAGACAGGACTCTCCTACAATCTCATTTAATGTTTACACAAAAAATGTCCCCTTCTGATTGGAACCACGTTGACAACATGCCTACTGCCTCTGCTGATGCACTGTCAGTCAAATGCAAAGCTAACCTGATCGCTAAATTCAACCTCCTATCAAAGAAGAACCCAGGACCACACATCACAAAACTGGATGTTAACAAAGTCGTTATTAATCAGAGTAACATCCCGATTTCGGACAATCTGAAAACAGTATTGGCTAAAGGACTAAATTTCGCTGTCACCCCTAACATATAACCGTAGAGGATATCATCTCTCATGTCGATGTAGCCCTCAAAGGCATAGGACACATCCAAGCAGACTTTGCGAGAGCTGAAATAGCCACTATTCTTAAGAATGCTAAGAAACCCATTAGCAACATTAGCAAAAACGAACGCTCTGAACTCGCTAATTTAAAAAAGAGGGATGATATAGTCATCCTCTCGGCCGACAAAGGCAATGCCACTGTCATTATGGATAAAAACTCATACAACAACAAAATCCAGGACTTACTGAATGATGGGAGTTACTCAAAAATTAAAAGTGATCCTACTAACAGCCTAACGATAAAAAACAACAAGATCATCACTAGTTCGACTTCCCTAATCGAACCATCCAAACTTCCCTCCCTAAAATCCTCGGCTGCAAGACCTCCCAGATTCTATGGTCTTCCCAAGATCCATAAAGAAGGTACCCCACTGCGACCCATCGTGTCCACTATCAACTCCCCTACCTACAAACTAGTCCGTTTTTTATCGGACACTCTGCTTCCCTTCACTGGCAAGACCGCCTCAGCAGTACTTAACTCAACCCAATTGGTTTCTATGGTCAAGGACACTGTACTGTCTTCTGACGATATCCTCGTCAGCTTCGTAGTATCTCTGTTTACCAAGGTCCCAGTGCCTGACACCATAACAACAATTGAAGATTTGGTCCAACATGGACTGAACCCTAATGTACCTGCGCTGGTTAGGCATTGCCTCACCAACACTTACTTTACCTGGAATGGTACCTTCTACAAACAAAATTAGCATACCCCTATGGGCTCCCCCTTGTCACCAGTGATAGCCAATGTTTTCATTGAGAAATTTGAATCAGACGCCATCCAGACATCCACCCTTTGCCCTTCCCTATGGAAGAGATATGTGGATGACACTTTCGTCATCTGGCCACATGGCCTCCCAGCATTGAACCATTTCCTAAACCACATTAATTCCAGACACCCATCCTCTATTAAACATGCTCTGATGGTATATGCTATTGTCTTTGAAACCTATTCTTATTTTCATACCTTATTGAAACTTGGGGACAAAAAAATTCCTACGATACAAAAAGCCACTCACCTCCTCTCTCGTGCATCATGAACAGAGTGAAGACCACCAGCAAACGACCCGCGGCACCGTCCATTTCTTTGTTACGGCACTGGGATTAGAAAAAAAATGAGGGGTCAACCGGGTTTCCACTTTCGACGCGAGTCAACATTATGAAATCCTCGAGAGTCGCCGTGGGAATAAATCCATGCGAGTTTGCAGGGTTTCTCCTGCGTAAAGCTACGCGTCTGTGCTGGCGTGGGTCTCTGTGTGAATCAATGGGTTTCTGAATGTCTACGGATTACTATGTAAAGTAAATGAATGTATACTCTATGCTTCGTTCTGTAAAGCCATGTAGGTAGAAACATAAAATAAGACAAAAATAATATATCACGTCGTTTCGATCGCAACACAAGCGGTCGTCCTGAGGTGGAAAAAAATATTCAGCAGTTGAACTGCTGAACCAGCAAAAGAGCTGTTACAACAAGAGGTTATTCATGTGGTGATGGGCAAGCAAGCGGGGTCTGAGCTGGAAAGGGATTCATCCCCAGATGCAAGCACGTCAGTTGTGTAAATGGGGGAGATTAGGGAAAGATAGATTAGCATGAAATGAGCTTCCGTCACCGCATAAGAGTATCATTCCCGCATATGCGCACAACAGCAGTGTTAATGGGAGATTAGCACTATGTTGATGGGAGATATTAGGCAGGGAGTTTAGGGGGATTAGTAAGTTAATGTCACGTCTATGTGTAACACAAGCTGCGGCGCTGCCAACTGCGCTGTGAGGCAAGCGTGTCCATGCAAGAGAACCACCGCACCGGTAGTCGCGCCAGTGAGACACACAGCCCATCACACAGCCAGAACCATCGATACATTGAGGCTAAGGGAGCAGAGGTGGCCATGTTAGTGAGACCCCAGCCCGTTAATGGAGAGGCACCTAACAGGGCAATGCAACTAAGAGAGTCGGAGATAACAGCCAAACGGTAGGGAAGAATGGAAGCACCACAGCAAGATACGACTTTGCTTGGTTAATAACGTCCTTCCAATTATTGCTCAGCTCATATCCATCTTCTCGGCTGAAATTGACTGTGTTTATATATCTGGATGGATTCATCCACAAATCTTTGATGGTAGCCCGAAGGTTTGCAGAGTACCTTTGTCTCGGAAAAAAACAATATCGTGCGAGCCCACTACGTTATAACAAGGAACAGCCATTGTAGAGGTATTGATTCTGCCGTGTTTCAAATCTGCCTTGTGTTCGCGAACACAGTCCGAGACATGTCGTTTCGTTTGCCCAATGTAACTGCTGCTGCAGACGCAACTTAGTTTGTAGACACCAGGGTATTGCATGTCAGGAATGACATCTTTCACAGATGGGATCAAATAACAAATTCTGTGTACTTATTGAATCAGACCTGCATCTTGTGTTTGTTTAAGATTTTGGAAATCTTTTTGGTAACACCTGCTATATATGGCAAGGCGATGGTTTTGATTGGGTCCTCAGATGGTTGTCTCCCCATGGTTGGGGCTACAGCTTTGCGTATTGTGCTGCCTGAGTATCCATTCATCTTGAGGGCTTGGTGTACGTGCTCCAGTTCACTGGCTAGGTGGCACTGGTCAGAGATGCAGCGGGCCCTATGGTGTAGTGTTTTGATGAGGGAGTTCTTCTGGGCCGAATGTTGGTGGGAGTCAGGCTTTAGATAGGAATCCGTGTGGGTGGCTTTCCTGTAGATGGAATGTCCCAACGAGCCATCAGGCGTCTTCTCGATCAAAACATCCAGGAATAGTAGCTTGCCATCATTTGACACTTCCATGGTGAATTTGATGGATGGGTGTATAGAATTTGTGGTTGAAAAAATGGTTCAGTGCTGGCTGGCCAGATGACGAAACTGTCATCTTCGTATCTCTTCCACAGGGAAGGACGTAGGGTGGATGTCAGGATGGCATCTGTTTCAAATATCTCCATGAAAACATTCGCTACCACTGGTGATAAGGGAGAACCCATAGGGGTACCTTCATTTTGTTTGTAGAATGTACCATTCCAGAGTAAGTGTTGGTAAGGCAGTACCTCAAAGTTACTTCCACTTGCACCTATGACTGAACATGTCTCAAGCTCAGTCTATGCCAATCTATGCGCCTCTGTGTGGTGAGTCTATGGGTGTCTGTGTGGTGATGAGTCTATGGGTCTCTGCGTGATGAGTCTAGGATTCTCTGTGTGATGATTCTATGGCTATGTGTGATGAGTCTATGAATCTATTCGTGATGAGCTTGTGCGTCTCTATTTGTGTGTGTATGTGTAGGGGGACTGTATAATAGAAGGTTCTGGCAGGTCGAGTTGAGATAGTTGAAAACAGGTGGCAATAAGGCACTGTCACCCGTGTGATAATTAAGTTGGGGGCTCATTATCCGATGGGGGTGTGGTCGAGCGGGTATAAAAGGGGGAGTGAGGCCCGCGGTCTCCGCGCTTGCTCACGGACTAATCGACGACCAGAGGTGGACGACATCGGGGCCAACTATTCGAGATCAACAGTGCAAACCACCGGGGCTGAAGATAGCCATAATCAGTGTAGCAGTAGTTATGATCAAACTTTAAAAACGTTTGGAGAAATAAAGCTCAACTCCCCTGATAATGGATGTCTCCATGGAGCTTCTTTACATACATGTAAAGACTTGGATGACGAAGTAGTAAGAGCCAATTTCATTTGGACACTGCCACATTAAAAGAACCCTAGGCTTTGTGCTCGTCTTCCAGCTTGTATCTTCCTACAAGCGTCTCCACTCCTCGTGTTATTCCCCTTACATATTCCTCAGCCCCCTTTCTCAAACCCTATTGTCCTCGTTTTTTACCTTTAGCCAATCCCTGTTCTTCCCCTCTAACAAAGTCTGTTTTCCAATTTCTCATTCAAACCTTATACCGTCAATCCCTTTAAGAGTCTGTGTCCCGACCAATCACCGTGGAGGCCTCTTTCTTCCAATCGGAGAATGTTGTTTATTTTCAAATTGACGTTAGGCTGCATATTGGCTTGGGGTAATTTATCGGTCATTACATCTGTATGCATGATGAACTTAATTCAACCTTCCCATCTCCGCTCTGATGTGTAACCGAAGGCTACTCTAGAGTCCAATATTGGTACACACACAATATAAAGAACGATCGTTTGATCGATTTCCATCACATCCACAGCGGACCAAACGTTGCAAGCCACCGGTGATCCGGGGACCCAACACGTTGAGAACCACTGGTCTAGCACAATAAGGAAAGAGTTTGTTTTCTTTCCCAACAGGCGGTCTAAAAAAAACACAAGCACCACAGTAGCTCAAAGGTAAGAGGATTGTGTTGACAGAAGTAGAAGAACAATTAGGTAAGAAAACAAGTTTTCCAATGCACACAATTATTGGCATTCAAAAACAGAAAATAAATTCCTTTGACCCCAGAATTAATCCTATTTGATGTGCTGAATAACAGTGGGTAGTTTCATTTTCTTTATGCAAGCCACCAACTTTTAATCAGCACATCAAATCTGATTGGCTCTGGGGATCAGGATAATGTATTTTCAACTTATGAATGCAAAAAGGGTGTGCATTGAAAAAAGTTATTCTTACCGGACTTACGTGAATGTTAATCTTGTCAAAAGAATTTGTATAGGTACATATTAAAACATCTAATATATTTTAAATAGTGAAATAAAAAAAGCCAATGATGGGCGGAACCTGTACTGGTTCTTTAAATAAAATATTGAATTGTCACACGAGACGACGAGTCTGTATGAAATGTTAACTTGTTAGGCTTCGTAGATTCCATTATATTAAAGCTTCGAAAATTTGACAGAATATAAACAGACAACAGTGCAAGTTGAAGAGACGTGTGTAAAATAGAAGCGAGTGATACGATGCTGAATATACAGTAGTTATCTCATCGATGATTTAAAAGCACTTTATATGAATTCTACATGGTGCATTAGTTATTGGCTGGTGGGGAAAAGGGGTGGCATTCCACTGTTGGGGAGAATAAGGGATGCTTAGGAAGGGTGATGATAGGGAAAGAGGGGGGTGAGGTTAGGAAAGGGGAAGGATGGTACTGGAGGGTGATGATAGGGAAAGGTGGCGCTGGCATGTTTAGGAGGAGGATGGTTAAGGTATTAAGGACGAGGCCAGGAAGGAGTAGAGGGATACCGTGATGAAAAGAGTCTTAAGTGAGGAACGGAAACATGGTTCGTGAAGTTGCCCTTTTGATGTGCATTGGTAGTTTATTCCAATGGAGGGGAGCCAGAAGGGAAGAGGAGCGGAGACGTGACTGAGCGTCGGGGAGGTGAAGGCGTAGTAAAGCTGAAACCGGTTTAGCTTATCATGGGTTGAACACGGAGACACGTTTTTCAACAACAAGAAAATGCAGCGCCTTCCATTGTTTTGCTTTAGCTTGCCGTTTTAAAAAAAGATACCCCCCAAATATAAAAAAAAACAGCCCACAATTGCATAGTCCTTCACAAGGGGATCGCCTTTCAAAAGGATTGCTTCGAGTCACGGTGATACTTTTGGGTCTTAAGATTTACCGGATAAATTTGTTTGCTTTGTTTGTTTTAAAACAGTTAATCCACACTCGCACAGGGCAGCTGTAAGATGTAAAATATGCGGAAAAGTACACCAATGAGGATATATATTTGTGTGCGTGCATGTGTGTGTGTGTCTGTGCATGCATGTGTGTATGTGTGTGTGGTGGTCTCCTTCTTTAAGAAGGGTGACCGTACAGACTCTAAGAACTACAGGGGCATCTCACTCCTCAGTGTGCCGGGAAAGATCCTGGCAAGGATTATTCAACATCGCCTTGCTAGGCACGCTGAGGCTTGCGGAGCCCCAATGCAGTTTCAGGAAAGGGCTGTCCTGCATATATGCCATATTTTATGTCCGTCTGCTACAGCAGAGGTGTAGGGAATTCTAACAAGACCTACATCTCTGCTTTATTGACCTGGTCAAGGCCTATGATACCATCAGTTGGCCTGGGCTCTGGGTTGTTCTTAGTGCTTTGAGTCCCTGACCCTCTGCTCACGATCATTAAGGACCTTCATGATGGTGAGCGGCCCGGGTAAAACTACGTGGCTGGGAGTCAGAGCCATTCCATGTACACCTTGGGGTGCGTCAGGGATGTCCTCTGGCTCCCACATTATTTAACATCTATTTTGACCACGTAGTTCGTGAAGTCTTCAATAGGTGTACCGGGGGAATTCCCATTTGGTACAGATATAATGGGATGCTGATCGATGCCCGGGTGCGTCAAGGAATGGCTCCCTATTGGCCAACCACGTTATGTATGCCGATGACTTAGTAATTGCTGCTCATTCAGAGGAGTTGGAGACGCTGCTGCTGAAGCGTGCCACGAAGAGGTGGGGCCTTACCATCAGCCCCACCAAAACTAAGCACCTGCCTTGGTATTTTGTACCATCGGACACGCCACCCCCACAACTCCCCAATTGGTGATGGGCAGTTGTGGAGAGAGTGGAGAGTTTCCAATACCTTGGCAGTGTGCTCATGACCGGCTCCCGTTTAACAGCAGAGGTCTTACTCCGAATCAGTCGAGTAGCAATATCTTTTCATCAGTTGTGTAACGCTGTGTGGAAGCTACCTGTTCTGTCGCTCCGCACGAAGCTTCAGGTCTTCTCGGCAACGGTCATTCCCTCCTTTCTCTACGCTTGCAAAACGTGCCGGCCTTTGTAGGTGCTCGCTACCACACTTGCCCCAACAGTCTGTTCAGGCTATACGAGGGGAATGTTTGTCTTTGAATCTTGGGTGGGGATCCAGCCCATAGCATCCAAATTCAGGAGCATTCGCTGGAAGGTGGCGTCGCGAAACAGGCATCAGACAACTGCCCCATGAACCTCACCTGTGGTGGCTAGTATATATTTACTATTGCGCCTGGTATGCAGCTCAAGCAAGTGGCTAATATCATCATCACGTGGATATTTATAGCAGCAGCAAAATTCTCTGAACACGTGATGATGTTGATTCTTAAAGTGGAGGGTAAAAATCGGAGGTCCCGGAGAAAATTCAACGTGACCACGAGGAGAGAGAGACATGCAAACTACAAATATGCAACACGCATTGTCAGGGTCGGGATTAAATCCACGACCTCCTGTATACCAGGCGAGGGAGTGAACGCCTCCCAGGCCATCTAGATATCACACTTTGTTTTTTACATGATCACTGTGTAAGGAGGACGAGTGATGAAATCCGAATCTGTATTTAGACTGGACGAATTTTATGAGCTAATAAGCTCTTTTTTTTACTGACAGATGTCCAGTTTGAGCGGGTCAGCGAGTTACAAGAGCGTCTCCTTGTCGTCGAAGTTTTGGGGTTCTCGTTGAACACTCCCTTAACTTACTGAATAGAAGAAGTGGCAGATAGACCTGCATCCACCGTTGTTCCAAATTCCCGAAATCGGGGAAATCGACGCCCGAATACGGTGCCGAATTGGTGTTGTTCACTTGTAAAAATATCAGCAATAGTCTTCTTTGTGTTAAAATAATTGAACGATTATTTCTGAAATAAATGTGAACTATTCTTGCATGCTGCTGAGGTGTATAACTGGTTCATCATAAACTAATCATAAGCTATTCATTAACTGTTCATTATAAACATTTCGTTATAAACTATTCATCATAAAATGAAACCATTAATCATAGACTAATCACAAACTATTCATCACAAATGATTCATAATAAACTGTTCTTAAAGCACATTAACTGTTCCTGCAGGTGTATAACCGGTTCACCATGAACTCTCCAGGCTTCTACTTTATTATTTCTGTGAACATTTTTTTACAAAATCATTTTTTCAAAATACCACTATTTCAAATAAGATAGTTACTTATGACCCACCCTCTATAAATGTGTAGGGGACTGTATAGAGAAATTATTAAAAACACAGTATTAAGAGGTTTGGGAAAAGGTGGCAGTTGGGGACTGTATAGATCATTAATTAATTAATACACTTGCGTTGAGATGATTGGGAACAGGTGTCAGTTGGGGACTGTATAGATAATTAATTAATGCACTTGCGTTGAGTTGATTGGGAACAGGTGGCAGTTGGGGGACTGTATAGATAATTAATTAATACACTTGCGTTGAGATGATTGGGAACAGGTGGCAGTTGGGGACGGTATAGCGAATTAATTAATACACTGGCGTTGAGATGATTGGGAGCAAGTGGCAGTTGGGGGACTGTATAGATAATTAATTAATTCACTTGCGTTGAGTTGATTGGGAACAAGTGGCAGTTGGAGACTGTATATATAATTAATTAATTTACTTGGGTTAAGATGATTGGGAACAAGTGGCAGTTGGAGACTGTATAGAGAATTAATTAATTAATGCGCTCAAAGATGTATAGAACTCTTTGTCAAAAGCGACCTGGCTATCACAAATATCTAAAGAAAGTGGCCTATCGTCACGGAGACGTTTATAGTAGCCAAATACTCAATATGCGTTATGTTGATTCCAAATGTGGAGGGGAAAACCAGAGGACCCGGAATAAATCCCCGTGACCAAGGGGAGAGAGACATGCAAATTCTAAACATGGAACAGGCGTCAGGGTTGTGATCGAATCCACGACCTGTATACCAGGTGTGATAGTAAACATCTCACTAGCCACCGTGTCCGTGACGTGATGGAAAGTGTCGAGCCAGATGATTTCTTGCACGAACGCACGCAAGAACGAGGAAGTTCACACAAACAAAATATATTACACTCCCTCCGGGCATATATCACATTTCATCGTTACAGACAAGACTGGCTCCTGCCTGTCCTTATGTATACAATGGTAGAAATACCAATGGCAAAAAAGAGCACTCTTCGTCAGTTGTATTTTCCCCTTATCAAACGATCAGTCATTGTCAGCCAGCAGAAAATCAACGCTGAACAAATGCCTCTCCAAATCGCACTTTAATCTACCCCTAGATCATCCGGTGATGCGAAAAACGCTGACCCAGCACCTGCCACGCAAGGCATGACTTCTGTGCTCTGTTTTCTTCAGTGGGGCCGTCCTCTTGGATGCATTTCTTTGGCTGCCACTCAACATCGTTGACCATGAACTATGTATGTGTGCATGTGTATGTATGTCTTTGTATGTATGTGGCGAGCGGTGGCGCATTGGTTAGCTGTAATGTGCTACAAACCCGGCGACCAGAGTAGGTGGCCAGCACCACGTCTGGCTTTGTTTGTCTCCCCAGTGGCGACGTTTACTACACATTGGATCAGGTACTCATTTGAGGCTGAGTTTACCTAGGGGAGGCCTAGAGTCAGTTAATTTCGCCGCTGGTGTTGGTGGCCGTGAGCGGGTATCAAACTCTGCCGGGTTGACAGTGCAGTGTATTGCTAACCGCTCTGCTACCGCTCCCCACACTTAAAATTTTTCACACACACACTCATTCACTCTCACACATTCACTCACTCTGATAAAACGGGAGAACGTACACAACTCTATACACTGAAAGGCGCCCCAGTGGAGAATTGGAGTTAGACCATTTTTTGCTGTAAGGCACAAGTAAGGAATTTCAAGAAGTTTAACACGTAGGCTTTCGCGACTAATATCCATAATAGAGATTTTTTGGGTTAGATTGCGTAAATATATAAACTTGATGATGATGATGATTTTTTAAAGTTTTAATTCTCATGATGATGATACTACAATGAGAGAATTAAAACTTAAAAATTATAGCCATTTTAAATATAAAAGCGGAGTTGTGGTTGTGAATTAGCTGTGAGAGAGGCACCGTGTTCCATTCTGGTCCGAGAGCTCATACACATCAAAACCAGCCAGATGTTAACTCCCTCGCGTGGTTTACAAGAGGTCGTGGGTTCGATCCCGACACCGACGCATGTTGTGTATTTAGATTGTGCGCGTCTCTCTCTCTCTCTCCCCATGGTCGTGTAGATTTTTCTCCGGGTCCTCTGGTTATTTTCGCTCCAAATTTAAAAACGTCCGCTATCGGGTATTTGGCTGCTGCTGCAGATTTCCACGTGATAAGCCACTTCGTTGAGTTATCATTCGTGGCCAGGTTGCTTCTGAAAATGAGCTATATATCTCAGCAACAGCCAAATACTACAAATGCATGTTTTTTTAAATGTCGAGGGGAAAATAACCGGAGAGATAGACACGGAAACTCCAAAAACGGCATCATCAGGGTCGGGGTCGAACCCACGACCTCCTGTATACCAGGCAAGATAGTTAACATCTCCATAGCCACCGTGATCTCACGTAGTAAACTAGTGTAGTCTGCGCTCGTATGAATGTAGAAATAGCACAACCACACGAACTCTCTCCTGTGAGCTCTCTGTGGCCAAGCATCAGCTTCGGCTTTGCCGTTCAGCTCTTGAACATATTTTGCTGACATGCCCAGGGATATACTGTACATCTTTCCCACGCAGTCGCTAAAAGCCGTGCAAACTTACAACAAATATTCAACGGAGGTATTAGGAAGGAACAAAAATCCATCAAAAGTCAACCGAAGCGATTTCCTGGCTGATATGCAGAATCAGAGGTAACGTATGTTTTGCACAAAATTATCGTGAACGTAGTCGTGGGTTTAACTCTCCGACACAAAACAACCAGTTAGTGCTGAACTAGTAAACTAATTGTACACGTTTTGTGTTCCGTGACACAAACCCCTTACTGATATTCGCTGTGTCAGGTGGTGATGGTGGCTGATTTAAAGCTACATTTATATTTTTAAGCGATTTAACCAGAAATAAAATCCTTTATTACCGAAAATACTGAGGTTTTGTGACAATAATTACTTAATATTTTAACTAACTTTTATATTCCTCAACAACCAAAATATGAAATAATAACCTTCCCTACATAAGATGGATATTATCTGGTAAAGTAACTGTTTTTTTTTCTTGGAGCAATCGACAGAAACGATGGCATTGTCCAGAAAAAAAATGTGGCAGGTACCATTCCTGGCAAAAAACACGAAAAGTCTGCCTTCTTTATTCACAAAGTACCATGGAGTACCTTCCCCTGGAGGCAGGAGCGACAGTGCCCAATTACGATTTAGTGATACGCGACAGATATCGCAACAGCGCGGTGTTGCACTTACCGACTTTTAAAATTGTTGAGAAAGGAGCTGAAAATCTCAGACCAGGCGTGAATCTCGATCTTCAAACGAAGTCAGCGGACACTCACACGATGTATCTGTGTGCGCATATATATAGGAGTTAAGGGGCCATCCATATAGCACGTACGCAAAATCTATCAAAACTTGACCTCGACTCCCCCCCCTTTACACACACGTACTTTTTACACCCCAACCCAAAACACGTACGTACGCTTGACGCACCCCCCACCTCGAATCCTACAGAACTTCCGATATTTGATCCACGCAGAAAACAAAGCAAACAGATAGTTTGCCTGTCTCCCTGCAGTCGTGTGGATTTTCCTCCGTGTCATCGGGTTTTTCCCTCTACATTTAGAAACACGCGTTCAGAGTATTTGGCTGCTGCTATACATTTCCACGTGGTAATAAGCCACTTCGTTGAGCTGCAACCATCTGTGACAGCCATGTCGCTTCTGAAAAAGAGCGAAATAGCTCAGTGGGCTTTACACCTGGTACAATATCAAAGTTAGTATTGTTCACCTAACTCCAAGAAGCGAGCCTTGCTCCCATGGTGTACGCGGAATCATCAGTCACTCGGCATATCGGTAACGACATTGAAGGAAGCTTGGCAGTTGAAAGCTTTGGGCAGTTTCAGTCCCAGTCATTTCTGCTATTATAGGATCACCAACAGTGGAGGAAAAGCCAACGAATTGGCTGCATCAGCTTCTAGTTACCGAACGAATGCATGCCAATATTGTGCTCATTACACACAAAGCGCGATAACTTGCTGCTGATATCCTCAAGGTGCATAAACTATCATCATGGGAACTATGCTTATCATCGCAGCAGCAGTGGCTTTTGGCTAACCACTGAACAAAGAGGGCCACCGCTTTGTGCGGCGCTTTCAGGTGCGCTTCCGCAGCCATCTGGAACGTTCTTCCTTCCGATATTAGGAAGCTACGGGAGCTATGTATTTAAATCTAGTTTGAAGACTAATTCGATTTTTCGTTTAGTTCATTGTCCTTGGCCCGCACCTCCGATTATCACGGTTGGATACGTACGGTGCGAAAGAAGTTCAACATACATAACATGAATACATGCAGGTGACCAATTATTCATGGAATCCGGTTTCTATATTCCAAGACTATTTCAAAATGAATTTCAAGTGTTAAAAAGGGTTGATGTTAAAATAAATATGTTCATTGCTAGCTTATATTTGAAGAGATATTAGAGAAAAGTGACTCGGTGCCAGAGAGTGTTTAAAATGTCAAGAATGCGGAAAAGTACAAAGGTGTGCTGGATATCTGTGGGGGTCTGGCCATTGCATGCAAATTCAGGATTGTGGCTGCGAGATTTGCTGCAGTGATTTAGCGCACTGCCCTCTAAACCCCAGTCACATGAGTTCGATTCCCAGCCGGGACTAATATGTTATTAAAAAAAACTTTTATTTTGCCACAACACCTCCTCTTGATTGTATGTCTAATCGCAATTTATTATAGCCTTCAATTCCTATTAGGCTCGGAGTTATACGCGAGATCAGCCATGTTTCAGACAGACAGTTATTCTAAACGTAAAGGGAAAAACCAGAAGGACCCAGAGGAAAATCCACGCTTATTCTGGGAGAGAGACACACAAACTCTAAATGTACAGCAGCAGGAATCCTCAGGGTCTGGATTGAACTCATACCCTCCTGTATACCAGGCGAGGTAGTTAACATCTCCTAGCCACCGTGGCACCCAGGACTCTGGCAGGGCTTTGTTGTCGTCTTGGTATTATGACGCCTGCAATATCTATTCTAGCAAATTGCAAACATTCGTTGAAATTCGATCTTCCAGCGTGACGGTTGAAGCAATGGAATGTTTAGTTTCTTTAATCCCTCCATCTCTGTCCTCCCCGCACTATAAATGGGTATTCCAGAGTTCGTCGATCAGAGGGTCAGTGCTTCCAGTTCCACCAGTATGTCTGGCCACTATAATGACAGAAGGGAAGTTTATATGAAATATATATTGTACCGAGCTGCTTTGCTCCCACATCTACCCCTCCTTGCTAGCACCATTTCGCATTGGCCAGAGTGATGGGGCGATAACAAATAACCCCCAAACATGCACAGGGAGCAGTGCCCCTCAAATCCAAAAAGTGAGCTGATAAAGGGGCTGTACGTGTACGTGCTTCGTTCTCAACCAGAAGAAAACCTAGAGACCTCTGTCCATCCGCTGATGCATAAAGAGCCACCAAAATCAACGTCAGTCATTTTCGTTTGTGTTTATTGTTGTTGTTACATCATTCCAAGTGATAGACAGTGAAGAATCGTGAAAAATAGGGGGGGGGGGGGATGGTTAATATATAACTTTCACGTAGGGGCGTCATGATGGCAAGATGTTAACTACCTTGCCTGGTTTATAGGAGGTCGTGGGTTCGATTCCGATCCTGACGCCTCTATATTTGGAGTTTGCATGCGTCTCTCCCATAAGATACCCAAGTTTGATTCCCGCTCACGGCACCAACACCAGCGGCGATTATCTGAACCGGCCTTGGGCCTCCCCTAGGTCGACTCAGCCTTAAATGAGTACCTGATCCGATGTGTAGTAAACATTGCCACTTGGGAGACAAACGAAGCCAGACATGGTGCTGGCCAACTACTCGGGTCACTCGGTTTGTAGAGCATTACAGCTAAGCAATGCGCCACTGCTCGCCACATACATATAAAGACATGCATACGTACACACATACATAGTTCATGGTCAACGATGTTGAGTGGCAATCAAAGGAGTGCATCCAAGAGGACGGCCGCACTGAAGGAAATGGAGCACGAAGTCACGCCGAGCGTGGCAGGTGCTGGGTGAGCGTTTGTCACATCGCCGGGTCATCTAGGGGTAGATCAGAGTGCGATTTGGAGAGGCCTTTGTTCAGTGGTGACTTTATCCTTATGGCGGTACCAAATAATGCAAAATGGCCGAGGCAATTGAATATTTTATTTCTGGGACACTATTCGTTCGGGGTGGAGAGTGAGGTAGTAGAGTGAATCGTTACATCCTTGATAGAGATTTTGTTCGGGTCTACTGTGGGCTACCGCGTTGCAAGTGTGTCGCTAAATGCCCTTTGAAAGATGGATGAGGCTCGCTGCCTGTTGGCCATAAACTGTGCGTGTGAAAAGGCAAAAAAGCATATTTTGTTCTGTCCAATTTATTTCAAGGTCGTAGCACCAGATGAGACGAATAAGTAATTTAGAAGTCTCATAGTAGATTATTATTTTATGCAGGCTGTCTCACAAGCTCGTGGTCGAACTCTCCCATGCACCCTGCGATGAGTTTTTTTTTTCCATGAAAGTCAAACTGATGTTTCAGCTTTCAATGCTGGAAAATAGCCAAAGTAAGTGAAAACCAAATTCAATGTGCTTTATGTATGGATGTGTGCAGCCATAACAGATATGCTAATCAGCCAAATGAAATTGAACATTTTACCTGCAATTTTTCATGCATATATAGTCTTTGGTGACTGGGCTTAGACCATCAAATGCACTTGAGAACCCAGTTAAATTACAAGTGACTGTAACCTAGATTCAAACCTATATCCCAGTGGTTCTGGCTTAGCTCCCTGACCGATGAAGCACCCATCATTTAACAGTTGTACAGGCGAATTTAAACTTTGAATAGTGCATCGTATACAGCTCGTCGAGATGAGTCGATTGCCGTATCGTCGACCATCAGACTTAAAATGACTGCATCATGCACAATATGCGATAGCTGGGTACTATGGTACCCCGGGATACCCTCTTAAGGTTCATATTTAATTACCTCGGTTATTTTGTATTATTTGGAACCCCGGGGTACTGCCATCAGAATAAAATGTTAAAAAGGATGGTATTCACCAACATCAAGTCGTAAATGTTGCAGGTGATATTTGAGAAAAGTGACTCGGTACCAGAGGGTACGTTTAAAATGGCAAGAATGTGGAAAAATGTTGAGGTTATACCATTGCATGCAAATTCAGGATTGTGGAAGGGAACTTGTATGCAGCGGTTATCGCATTGACCTCTAAACCCCGATCACCTGAGTTTGATTCCCAGCCGGGGCTAACTTACTATTAAATCAATATATACACATCAATAATTGTCAGCCAGCAGCAAGTGAACCTTATGGCAGTACCCTATGGTACTATGCTGTCAACGTCTGAGATGCAGTCATTTTTAGTCTGTTGATGGTCGGCGATGCGGCAATCGACTCATCTCGACGAGCTATACACGATGCACTATTCAAAGTTTCAATTATCCTGTACAACTGTTAAATGATGGGTGCTTCATCGGTCAATGAGCTAAGCCAGAAGCACTGGGATATAGATTTTCATCTAGGTTACAGCCACTCGTAATTTAACTTAGTTCTGAAATGTAATTTAATGATCTAAGCCCAGACAATGACTATACAAGTATAAAAAATTGCAGATAAAATGTTCAATTTTATTTGTCTGAATAGCAGATGGCATGATAAAAAAAACTGTCTCGTGGCTGCACAAACACCCATCCACAAAACACACTGAATTTGGTTTTCACTTACTTTGGCTTTATTCCAGCATTGAAAGCTCAAACATCGGTTTGACTTTCATGGGAACGAAACTCATCGCAGGGTGCATGGGAGAGTTTGATCGAGTTTGAGAGACATCCTGCATAAAATAATAATAACAATTCTATTGTGAGACTTCTAAATGGCTTCTTCGTCTCATCATATGGCGCTACGGCCTTGAAATAAATTGGACAGAACAAAATATCCCGTTTTTTTCCGTTTAACATGCACAGTTTATGGCCAACAGGAAGAGCCTCACTCATCTTTCAAAGGGCATTTAGTGAAAATCTTGCAACGCAGTAGTACACCCGAACAAAATCGCTATCCTCAGGGGTGTAACGATTCACTCTACTCCCCCACCCTCCACTCCCCGGAAAATAGTGTTCCAGAAATAAAATATTTAATTGGCTTGGTCATTTTTATTATTTGGAACCCCGGGGTACCGCCATTAGGATAATTTAACAGGTAATATAGCTCTGGGCATTAGAGCTGTACGCAGATACGGTCTGTTCTCCTCTAACGCCACGTGTTTTCACGAACGCGAATTGAACATATGCAACGCGATTAACGTATTCTGGAATGAATTTTTTATAACGCGGATGCGAATTGGATATTGTAACGCGATTGAGTG